ATATTATCATGAACATTATTCTCATGAGCGGAACTCTGTTCTGTTCAAGAGTCCAAATAATTAAATTCCATGAACTGTTTGGTTTTTGAAGATCACCTGTTATACACAAATTAAAGTATTTATTTTTTAGCATAACAAGTTAACGAATTGATGGAGGTCTAGAGCGTCCGCTCGTTTAAATTTTGTACGAGCTATTTTTAGTCAGTTTTAAATTTTTGTCCTTGTACTATGCAGTTGATTTATTTTGATATTTAAAATATTTAATAATAAAATTTCACTGCTTCACTGGCGAACAAGAAGAAGGAGAAAAAGCGATCAGAGATAATTGAATCAGCCAACCTTATCTCACGTATGAGCTTCGAGAAATGTTTTCTGTTTGCTTCACGACCCTTCACAGGATCAAATGTGAGAGCGATCGACCAAACAGCAAGCAGGAACAAACCGAACGTCAAGACGATAAACTAACAAATAAATTACGTAAGTCCAATTTAAACGATCAGATGCAGAAGAACAAAGACAAGACAAAGACAATGTTCTCCAAGAAAATATGTATTTAGCATGTATTTTCAAACTGAGAACTCTGTGAAAAAGAAACCGTACGCGTCTTTTCATTGTCGACTCGTGAATTTAATTTTCTTAGTTTAGCTCTGACACCAATTTAACAATGCAGGCAAACTTGTCCATTACCGTGGTTTGAGGGTGGATCATTGCATAGCGGGTATATTTTATTTTGTAAGAATATTTTAGACTGTTGAGGCACTTGTTGTTATACAATAATGAATGTAGTCCAGTACATATGGATTCAAGACATGGCTAATAAATTTATTCAATGAAACCATCCTTACAAATCTTTTTTTCCCCGCAATTTTTTGTTGCGATACAAAGTTGCACAAAAAATTGCCCAACGTAAAGCCTGCATGGTTTTTCATTAGTGTGGAAAATCCCAGAACATCGGGGATTTTGTTATTTCCCGACCGTCCCAGACATTCCCGACTCAGGGAGACAATGGGAGACATCTACCTTGTCGTGTTTTCATAAGTCGGGAATGTCTGGCACAGTCGGGAAATAACAAAATCCCCGATGGTCTGGGATTTTCCCGACATCCTGAAGAGGACAGTCTCACAACGTTTTCGTGCAACTTGTCTCGCAATGGCGCAACAAAATTGAAATTTCATCGTAAACATAACCGTTGAATTAGCTTCTCTTTTCTCTCAAAAGCTTGTAGCAAATGCAGCAAAGTGCTGAAGATCAAGCGCTTCGGTTGTAAACATCTGGTTGTGAACATCTTTTTTTAAATGAAAAATATACAGCATTTTTTGCGATTCCCACTACTACTCATATTCATATTCAATACTAGCCTTTGTTTTCATCACCATGGTCTACGAGAAAACAATTATTTTTGGGGATACATAAACGTAAATGGAAAATTAAATCTAAAATATTCCATCAACATGACAGGAAGATTCCATTAAAATGAAGATTAAACAGAGCATATGCTTATTATAACAAGGTGGTGAAACAAGAAAGGAAACATTAGCATTTAATAAACTCAACAACAATAATTGAAATCTTATGGCGACGTGGAATCTTCCTAGAGGAACAGCGAACAAATTATAAACACGAATTCTACATTATATGTCTTGTTTATGGTCCGAAAATTCTGATCGACCGGTCACCAAAAGGAGCTCTACCTGCTCTATCAACCATATTCGCTAATTAGAAACAGCAGCTGCGACATGATTAACTTTCTATTTGTGAATAAATTGTTGTTTGTGCTGGTAAATAGGCCTGTTTAACTTAAGACGAGCACAGGGCTACAATAGCCTGTGAAAAGGCTCCCGATGATCAACTTTCAGGTATGCTAGTCCATAGCCTGTATTAAGCGTCGGGTATACACCACTCGGGGATATGCTCCTAGTGTGACGCAAGGATGTCCGCTTAAAACAGGTTCTCCATTAGAATACGTGATATAATCACGATCTTTTTTTTTTTATAAGAAACGTCTATTATTTTTTCTAGTCTAGAGCCCTGAACCAAGAACCGATATGTTCTTTATTTTATTTTTTGGGTCGGGGATTTTTTCAGCCTGTAAAATCCGTTCTTAACATGTTCTTAAGAG